CCTTCTTGTAAGGTAAGTCCAAAGTATTTCTGCCTGCACTTGAACATGCTGCTGGCATCGTCACTCTCTGCAAACATCTTAGAAATTGCCCTTAATAGCTGGTTTGCAGGTGGATGGTTGCTGGTTTAGTTCCCAAACAGATCAAGAGCAAATCTTTAAGGACCAATGATATGTTGTTGATGTCACATCTGGTCCATTCGGGACAACAGGATGTGACATCTGTGGGTCCATTTACAAGGTGCGTATGACTTCCCTTGCTGGTACAGCCTGGCATGGATGTTGACGGTGTGTCTTTGATGTGCGGGGTGTGACGGGCTGCCTCCTTTGAAGCTGGTGTGACTAAGTGTTGGATGCAGACGTGGGACAGTCAGAGGAGCGAGGAAATAGCTGAGGGTCACTGACAGGCGATGACCCTTCCAACCATTTCCACACATGATTGAGAGTCACTCTGCAGGGAAAGACACCGATTAAATCTTTGGGCGTAAACAGACCTGTGCTGCTGATCTTTGATCCTGGCTTCACAAACACTAACACAGACTAGGAATATTCTAGCATGAGTGACAGAAGATTAAAATGTTCACGAAAAATTGTTTAAAAATAAACTTTAGGGTAATTTACTGTAATCAACAGCCAAACTGACACCAGTCAAATTGTTCAGATTTGCTCTGCAGTGAATCTGGAACGCAGTACAGGCTACAACAAATGCCAAGAACTGTTTGCGAACACAATCTGACCCTCTGGCAATCACACACATACACACACACACACACACACACACACACACACACACACACACTCACACAGACACACAGAAACACATCAGAACTGGAGAATCAGACTGCCATCTTGAAGTGGGTGTCATCCCTTGTGCCCATTCACAACCGCGGCAATGAAAACAAAACACCAAATCTGAAGGATTCCTACTGTCAGTCAGAGGAAAGGCAATCTCTTTCATTTCAAGGAGTGTAAACACCAAAGGATTCTGGGACTAATTTGTTAAACATAGTTACAGTTGTCAAGGTAAAATCTGCCACATTTGAAGCACCTCTCCCTGCAATGTTTACGTTGGAAGTGGTTGATTGACTGCCTCTGGCGTATTATGGCTAGACAGGGCCGATTGTCAATAACTGTCACCCGCAGAGGGGAGGAGGAAACAGGCCCAATCTGCCTTTGCCTGCCGTGTAATTAGCACTAAAACAAAATGCTTTGTGTTGAAATGCAGGGACTGGCACCCCTGCCAAGCGCACATAGCATTGCATGCCCAAAGAAAACATCGATGGGTGGCATGATGGAACATAATCGCTCTTTTCCGACTCATGAGGTATGCAAATGACGCAGATCTGGGACACAAAGGCACTATTACCAGCTAATTAAAAACATCTGAACTATGCCATCCATTCTTCGATGTTGTCCTCCAGTGTGTGTGGGTTTTTGAGCAGCGAGAGGACGCACCTAAAATCCACCTGTTCCCCCCAGGGCTCAGCACTAAACTGAAACAACTAAACAAGCCCTCCTGGAAAGGAGGAGAAGCCTGCAGTCCAAACTGGTAACAGATATATGTGAATATTAAAAGCACTTAATTTTTTCCTCCCCTACCATAGAAAAACAATTGCGCCATTGTGCTCGATACTCGCATGTGTTTACCTCGATGGTGTTTACTAATGGGAGTGATAAATAATGCTCTCTAAATGGCTTCACTCTGGATTCCTCTCAAACATAACATCTCTGCCAGATCATCCTCACAGTTGGATTAGATTGATCTGTACACAACCAGTGAATCACACTGCCAAAACTAACAATTATTTATACGTATGTAACACTTGGATATTAATTAATGTAGGTCATGTTGTTCAAGGATCCAAGGTAATTGTATTATCATTTACAATGCAAGGTGAAATTAAGATATAGTTGGTTTAATGCTACTTTCAAAAAAGATTAATGAGTGAGTATGAAAACAAAAAGAACTTTAATTTACATGATGAATTGTTGACTATCTCACAGCCTGAGGGAAGAACCTGTCCTTAACCTATGTTACCTCTTCCCAGAAGGCAGCAGGGTGAACAGGCTTTGGCTGTGGTAGGTGCTGTATTTTAATTGCCTTTTGGCTCTGCACAGGCACCTTGTTGATAACTGCAGATAAAATGCTATGAGACTCAACTTAAGCTCTGTGCAGAAATTCGCAGCTGAAAGGTCCAAGTAAAGCAGCACATATTATACTTTTTGTGTCCATGGATCCCTGCGTGATCCATAGGCAAAGTATAGTGCGCCTTTTAGTGCACCTTGTGAAGCTGTGCCGCTTTGACTTGCATTGCTCCTTGTCAGCTAAAACAGAAAACCTGGGACTACTATTTGTGATTTATATCCTGATATGTTTTTGAAATTCAAGTGAAATTCAGTTATGTTTGAATGCTTTGACTTACAGTTTGCAGTGCTTTCAGCTGCAAATGTCTGCATGTAGGAACAGGAGGGATGTTGAGATGGATGCTTCAGATTATAGAGCAGTTAACTTTATCTGCTACATAAAGTCGGTTTCTTTGAACCACTGATCTAGATATTTCCCTGACCTTAACCATATAGTTGTAGTTTATACTTTAGTTAAACAACCAGCTGCTAAAACCAAACTTTTAGAGGAGGTAGATCATAAAATATGACACAGTTTTTAGAACAGTCAGTTGGGTTACTTTGCAGTGGCAAAGAAAGCACAGGCTGCAAAAACACATCAGTCCACTCATTAGCAAATAGGCTTTGATTTGAGGTCCCTTATAATTTATTTTATAATTTATATTTATTTATTTTACATGATAGTAGCTTACAATGCTGCTCCTAAGAGTGTAGGATGTGAGATGTGTGTAGACCATCATAAAACACTACATATTTGTCACTAGGATTAAAAACACTGTCAGAGGTTGTTGATGATTTTTTCATTGTAGGTTTAAACAAATGTTGTCTCTGACTCCATTACACAGCAATGAAACACCATGATAGCTAATCAACGTAAATCATAGAGATCAAAGAGATTCCACCCCCTTTAGTTTGCAGGATCATAATTAGACACCCAATCAGCCGTAACTCAGGAAGAGAAACAGTGGCAGGATTGTTCAGCAACAACACCACAAGGAATTTAACCCCTTTACAGAAACAAATCACCAAAATCCCGACCAAGTAAAACAAATCCGAGACTGGCTTTTGATTATTATGATGCCACAAGTCTCTCTTTGACAAATTGTTTCCAAGCAAACCCCTGCGGAGTACGTGTGTATGCTAATTATGAGCAACCAAACAATTTGCAAAAGCTCTGAGGTTATTGAGCTGGGGTGGTGCACTGCATGTCATACAGATTACACTGGGATACTTTGTCTTTGTCTTTTTAGCCATGCTATGTAGCTCTAAGTATGTCGGTCTGTCAGTCCGTAAGTCCACCCAGTTTGGTCCAGACAGAAATCTCTCATGAACCATTAGATGAATTACTATGGAATTGTATTCAGCCATTCATGTAATATGAGTTGTAATCACTTTAGTGGTCCTCTGACTTTTCATCAGGTCAGAATTGCAGATTGTCAGATACTTTGGTTTATGGACAATTATCTAACAACTGACATTAGGCTCAGTTGTACTTTATTGTATTTGTTGCTAATTAGACAATATTAGCATGCGTATGCACTAAACAAAGACAGTGAACACAGTAAACAATTATACCCGCTGAACATCAGCATGTTAGTACTGTGACCATGTTAGCATGCTGACTGCATTTAGCATAGCTGCGTCTGCCTCACAGATATGGCTTTAGACTCTTTTTTTTAGTCAATAATCGCAAAGGTCCAATATCTGAATTGCATGCAATTTGTGTGGAACTGTCAGAGCAACATCTTTTACACAGTTTACTTTTGCTTCTATGTCATAGGGTATCTGAAAAGTGAATGTTTTAAAGGTCCAGTGTGTAGGATTAAGAGGCATTTAGCCGTGAAGCTGCAGATTGCAACCATCTGAACACAGCTCATCCATCCAAATATGTAGGAGAAACTACGGTGACTGTGAACAATGCAAAAGTCCCTATCTAGAGCCAGTGTTTGCTTTGTCCATTCTGGGCCACTGTAGAAAACATGGTGATTCAACATGGTGGCCTCTGTGTAGATAAAAACGACTTATTCTATGGTAATAAAAACACAACAGTTCCTATTTTCAGGTGATTATACACTAATGAAACATACCTATGAATATTATATTCCATTTCTTTCCAATAGATTCTGCTAAATGTTACACACTGGACCTTTAATATTAAATATGTACCATCGTATTAAGTAGAACGACTAGTAGTTCAAAAACTCTGCATAGTGCCATTTAGTCTCAGGTAACACAAACCCTCAGACCAAAGATGGATTTGTCTTGTGTTGGGAACAACTGAGGCAGTGACAGTCGCTGATATTACATTCTCCATGTTAAGCTTATTTTCACCCACTTCACAATAATGTCTACCTTCTGTGAACAGCCCCACTCCTCCCATCCCACTACATGAGCCACTATGATGAACTAAACCCCACCCACCCAGCACACCAGAAAAAGTGAAGAAAGTAAAAAAAAAAAAAAAAAAAGTGTCTGGATCCATTACTGTTAAGCTACTGTTGCTAGGGTATTTTTCTTTTTCATGAGCTGCAATTGAACTAGTTTCTCAGCCAGTCTCCCTGCTTCTAACCTGTCTACCGACTTACCTGTCTACCTACGTGTCTGTCTGAGCTCCTCACACCTTGAAGAGCCTGTTTGCTCAAGCCTCGTTTGAGCCTGTCAACAAGCACAGGAAGCTCCTCCCTCCTCCCTTGTCTTTACCCTACTTTTTCGGTTCTACCAACCCCCCCCGCGCCTCCCCAAACACCGGTTTGATTTATGGGCCTGTCGAGCTACCTGGCCAAGGACGACAGGTTATTTCCATTACTGCTGGGATTCTCTGTAATAAGGGTATCCGATGTAAGGGCATAGCACGGGGGCCAGCTGTCTTGTCCCAGCTAAGCAACGACAACAGACCTCCAGAGAGCGAAAATATTCATATACTTGTGTTCTAACGCTTGATGTTGTCGGGTTTATCGGCGGCAACACGTGTTTTCAGCTACATTTTAATCAAACCTTGAGTGATGTGATGTTTTGTAATCTCTATCTATAATTTATGTTTGAGTCATACAATGGAAATCCACCACACACAGCCGCTTACGTAGGCAAGCAGCCGGAGAGCTTGTTCACATTCGCCCAGGAGCTTTGGCTTCTGCACACAAAGGTATCAACACTGAAGCCATTGAAACATCTAAATGTGTGTGTGTGTGTGTGTGTGTGTGTGTGTGTGTGTGTGTGTGTGTGTGTGTGTGAGTGACACCAGAGAAGTGGCATCAAACTGAGAGACTTTCAAGACTTTTTTCATGCCTGCTCCGCTGAAGCACCTTGTCTGTCAGCGAGGCAGGACGGCGCGTTTGAGCAAACGGCCGGCCTCTTTGATTTTCAGCTCCGTGTTGTTTTTGAATCTCCTGGCTCGACGTTGCATCACTTCCCCTCTGAGGCAGACTCAGACAAAAAGTGTCACTCACCTGTCGTTACCTCTGACAAAGGTGAGTTTGCACGTTGTTTGAAAGCTCAGCGCCTCTAACAGCTACTTGAACACGGGTTATCTAACATGACTTTTGCTAAAGAAGTTAAAGGCATAGCACTTCTTATGGAAATACCACTCGCGTGTTTAAAAGAGTGTATGACAGAAATATTGTAATGCAAAGAGAAATTTACTTACCATTCACCTAATGGGTGCTGTTCTGGAAACAATGTCATTGGCTGAGCTATTTATTATCATAAAAACTACAGGTTTGTAGGCTATTTGAGCCTGAAATGAATAGAAAAGGTATTAGTTACAAAAACCTGAATGAATAGAAATGTACCTATTTTCTTAATTTGTATTTTAGTTTTTTTCTAAGCAATTTAGTTAATCTCAGCTAATGAGATTATTTCTATGTTTCTGTATTACATTCAATTTACAGGTTAAAGAAAAGCTTGAGATGAGCTTGATTGGCTAAGATTCCATAATTAAGCACACAAGCACTAAAACATACAATAGGCTGTTATTTCAAGAGAGCAATACCTTTCAGAATGAACCAACAAAACACACATATGTCTTCAAGAAACAAGATGGAACTTTTATATAGACGCTACCATATATGGTCTCCCCTTCAGACCCACATTTTCTCATGGCCATCAACTCGCAACTTACTTTTATAGAATCAAAACCAAACAATCTGTATTTTTCTAGCAAACACATACATTGTCATGTCGATACCTGTACATGCTTAACATAAAATGTACACATATTTTCATCCCTGCAATCAGAGCACATTACTGTAATAATAGGAGTATGAACATCATCACATTTACACACAAAATAAGTAGGGCATACAAAATGGTATGGTGGAAGGTTTTCTGTCAAACTAAAAGCCAGACATCAGATAGGTAAGCATTTAAAACAGATTTGTATGCTCTTCCATTCATTCAAGTCCCATTCAGAACGAGTCTGCAACCCACTTTTGGGTCTCGACCCACCAGTTGAAAACCACTGCCATATACTATAGTATATTATCTAGATTTTTTCAGCCAGCATTTAAGTACCACAAACATTTGTGTTTGATCTACACATTCTAGAAAGTTGTGGCTGTTGCATAAACATCTTCACCCACAAGAAACATACGTGTACATTGTATTTGGGTTCATTACTAACCAATTCAATAGCTGACTGATACATGAGACACCTGTCACTTTAACAAAAATATCCCAAAACATACTTCTATTGAAACTTTAATGCCTCCAGTATCCACCAACCACTACTAACACTTTATCTTTAAGCCACTATGTGTAGAATTTGGAAATGACACATCACATTACATACAGCATAGCATGGGCTTAGAAGAGGGATCCATGCCCGGTATTGAGCCAGCAGTGTCCAAGGCGGGGCACAACCACCAGATGATGAAAGAGACAAAGCCTAAAAGTTCATTAGGAAGTGTAAGATGAATTGACAGATGCTTGGCCCAGGCACCTGGAAACTATGCCACACACAACTTTTCAGCACAATGCATGAATAAAACACTTGGCTGAGATGTGCTGTAGACCGCAGCCCACAATGAATCACAGCAGTCTTTAATAATGGGAAGTTGTTTATGAACCTGAAAAGGCAGATGACTTATAATTGTCATCAGGCTGTTGACAGCAGTGCTGTCTGCCCTGTCTGCCTCTCCTTCTCTCTTAGTTTGTTTACTCCAACATTTATTAGGATATTTAGTAGTCAATTTAACACCTGAAACAATTGTAAACACCGTACCTGTTTATAATAACTGATTGTAATTGTAGGTAAACTGAGGTGATGTTTCCACGAGGTATAGTGGTTTCATGTGCGATGGGTTTGATTCCTCAGGAGCATGATAAACATTCCTCCTCTATGGGAGATGTGGGAAAGACCTTAGACCACCTCTGGGCCAATGTGTGCTGTAGTACAATCTTAGAGTTATAACCGAGTTAAGTGTATATTCACAGCATTACTAGATCAAAATTGGGTGCACCACACAATGCAGTGAGTAGCGGGCCCACACGGAATCTGTGCATGCCGAATTCAGGCACCTACACAGATTTTAAACTAATAGAGATACTGCTTGTGTAACACATTTTGTAAGATAATTTGCACCTGGATATGGTAGAGTAAGAGTCTTGAATTTTCAGCGGATGCATAGTTTTGGAGCATCTGGGAAAGTTTTATGTTTTAGTGTCATGTTTTATGCCTTTGCGGTTTTCAAAGACTCTTGGAGTTTATATTTTGTTGTGGATGAGTTGTGGTCAAGCACCTTACCAGTTACTTATGTTTATGTTTTGAAGTGGTAATTGTTGGGAGATGATTCATCAATGGTTACTGGTTTAAGTTTTGACATTGAACATTTTAGTGGCCACATGTCTTACATTTTATGCTGGTTGACTTGGGTTGTTTTAATAACAACCTAAAGAAAAATCTAAGATGAGCTGAGTTAACTAATAATGTTAGCTTGTAAATATAAAATAAAGTGGGAAGACTGTTAATAAACTGTTATTTTCGGAAGCAGCTAATGATGCTACAGTGGCTACATGTTTAATTGGTTGATTTCCTGATTGGATGGTACACTACGATGACTTCCTGGCAACCGATTCAAAATACCTTGTCTTTACCAGCTAAGACATTATGTTTCAATGCTGCAACCCAATCCTGACTCTCCTGTTCGGACTGCAGGCAAAGACACATTCTGTTCACTTCATTATTTCAGGCGTGTCTCCATAATACAGTCTGTGGTTTCCATGGTAACTGTTAAAATGTGTCTACATTTACAATGACAGCAAGAAATTGTGACTGAGATTTTGAATTAAGCTTTTACCTGTTTATTGTTGCTACGTGTCAGGATCACATCTAGTGCCAAGTCCAAGTGGTGCACCAGGAATTTGACTTAATTAATTGGTGCTGGCACATTACAAGACAGTTACACAATGCATGAAAAATAAGAGGACCTCACATACAGTGCAGACAAGATGTACTGTTTGACAGTAGACTAAACAGTACCAATAGTTTGAAATAGGGAAGTCATGTTTTTGCATCAGCAGTTTTATTGTAAACAGTTTTCCTTTGCTTCTATTAAAATATTCTGTTTATAATAGTGCAGTGATAACTATGATACATAGGTGCATTTACATGCATTATTGCTCATGCGCTGTCTGTGGCTTTGCTGTTATGTGTTGGTCAGGTGGAGTACTGCCTTGCTGCTGCAGAAAAGGACGCAATGAGAGGGGTGAGAATGAACAGACTGGAAAAACAAAACATTGGCCTGAAATCTCAGTCGAGCTGGGGGGAACTTCAGAGGCAGGTGATGATTCTCTTTATCACCATGAGTGACCCCTTTCTGTATACTTGGGCCTAAACACTGAAATGGAAAGTTGACCTCGCAAACAGTAGTTGAAAAAAAAACATCAGCATAAGGTCCATTTAGTAGCTGCTTAAAGGTCCAGTGTGTAACATTTAGGATGATCTTTGTGCAGAAATATAATATAATATTCATAGGTATGTTTTTATTAGTGGATAATCACCTGTATAAAGAGCTGTTGTGTTTTTGTTAACTCAGAGCCATTTTCATCTGCAGAGTGAGCAGGTCCTCTTCCATGGAGTGCGCCGTGTTGAGCCGCCATGTTTCCACAGAAGCCCTAACACCAAACACTGGCTCCAGACAGGGCCTTGGGCTTTTTTCGCAAGTTTCACGATCACCGTGGTTCCTCCTACATGCTTGGAAAGGGAGGGGTATTCAGTCACTGCTAGAATCCACTAAATTCTACACACTGGTCCTTGAATATAAAAATCAGAAACCACTATAAAATGTACGAAAAAGATGAACTTTCAGTCTCAACTGTATAATATAATTATAATATGTGGTAAGTGTATGTGTATAGATATTTTCAAGATGAACACAATTCACTCTCACATCAACAGGGACGCTGAATTTAACTCACTTGTGTAATTATATACACATACTAGTATACAATTTTGACTCTTACTTCTTATTTGGTGTTGAACATACCCTGTTAGTGTATACGTGATTTGAAATGCACTTGTAAATGACAATTATGATGTGAACATGCACTGTGTGTGAACATCTGGTTTGGGCTTGAGCACCTGATTTACTTCATGTAGGACGATCAGGGTGGGTTTCTTAAGTGACATTCGAACATGTTCTTCATGCACTATAAGGTACTTTGCATAAAGATATACAACAACTCAAATGTTATATCTAGTTCACTGTCACCCAAACTGACCCCAACCTATTTCATCACATCAGTTTTCTCAGATTTATTAACTTTTCCAGATACACTCAGATTCACATACAAATAGATTCTTTGTAAAGCGAAGAGTTCCTCTCCTCCGAGGTCATCCTCATCTTCCTCTAGATAGTTCAGAGCCAGGCTCAGTGTGGGCCACCTGGCAGGGAGAGGCAGGCCAGGGGTGGGGAAGCGTTGTGGGTGTTCTGCAGCGCCTGGGCTGGACCGGGCTAGCGCTGTCTGTGGCTCAGCGGGCGGGTGTGTGTTGTGTAACCCAAAGCTGTGGTTGGATTTTTTTCCCACATGAGCTGTCAACTGGCTTCATGGCACGCAGAGAAAAAGAGAGAGAGAGAAAGGGCCAAAAAAGAACAATAATTAATTCAATTAATTCCCACAGTGACAGTTTTCTTTATGAGAAAATAATAAATCAAGTATATTGTTAAAGTAGAACTAGAGAGAAATATGAGATGTTTGTACTGTAAGGCCGGCTCTGACAGCAGCTTCAGTAAAAGTAGGATATCTGAATTATTTTCCCTTCTACAATCACAAATATGAACAAAAAAGTGTATTTTGTTTTCATTATTTTTATTCTTTTCCCTCTTTAAAGACTGTAAACCTGGATGACTAACATTAGTTTGATGCCACTTAGTGTAATATACCCTATAAAGATTTTTATGTCTCTCATAAAAAGTGGTACCTGTAAATTAGAAGGTGTTCAATTGGATTTACCCTCCATTACATGCTGAAATTTGCCTTGGATGTTGGTGGGTGAGCGAGATCAGGGATGTAATTGAGCAGAAAAGTATTGCTTTTCCAGCAAAAAAAGTCTGCAGCAGAAAGTCGTTGCGAGTAAAAACAATTGTGTCGATGCAGATTTTACCTGCAACCCGTCCTTTCTCCTCCTATTTCCCAGACAAGACACTCTCACACACCCAAACAGGCGATAGTTGTGAGTAGAGAGGAGAGGGGGTAATTTAAAGCTGAATTAGGACCTTTTATACTGATGCTATATTGTCAACACGGCCCGTAAAACCTCCTCCTCCACTCCTCTTCCCCCCACCCTCCTTCTCTGCCATTCTCCCTTCAGTTCCTCTTTATTTGTTCTAATTCCAGGGACCGGCTGGGTCTTGCCTGGATTTGGAGAGTGCTTGGTTTCAAAGGGTAATTGACACCTTACCTGTAATTTCATGGTTTCACTCCACCTGCCTTTGATGTCTGGGTCTCGGTTGGGGCCAGGATGCGGAGGGAAGAGACGGTGGCGGTGTGCTGCTGCATGCTCTGCCGCGAGTCTCTTTCAGCCCGCCTGAGCGGGTTTCTGAACATGAATGACGTCTCATGCGAACCCAGGTTATTAAAGACGAAGAGGGGGGTTCCACGGGCCGCTGAGAAGCTTTTCTTGTGGTGACAAATAGGCCTATAGAGTTGTCAAGACTGACTTAGAGACAGAGGATCACAGATGAGTCAGGGGCAGAGATGATGACCTCAAAAACATCACAAAAAAGTCAAAGATGAACTTTTGTGGGATTTCAAAAAGAACAATTAGCAGTGCAGTTTTTGCTGTTATTATGTATTCCTTATCTTTGTTCAGCAGTCCACGACCGTGGAATATCCAGAGTGATTCAGTATTATCTTGTTAATCACCTTTTATAAAATATTCACTTTCTAGCTTTTTCCCAGAGCTTTTGACCATATCTGAGATCTTCAGCTAATGTATATGGGGGGATCTCAAACCTGTATGACAGCTTGTGATGGCATGAAGTTTGGTTCTTAGGTCACAAGTTCCATTCGCGGAAGAAGGCCAAGGGGTTTTGGTTGAAAGATTGGTTTAGCATAAAACATAAATATTAGTGCTTTCAGTTAAACGCGTTATTAACGGCGTTAACGCAAACCCATTTTAACGGCGTAAATTTTTTTATCGCGATATTAGCGTTCTTTTTGGCCTAGCACACTTTGTAGTTTTTTTTCACATGCTGTTGCAACAACTAGTAATGTTAGAAAAACTACAACACCACACTGGATCTAGCTAGACCGGAAACAAAACAACAGGCACGATGCACACACTTGTTTAAGAGTAGTAGACGTTACGTTTTGAGTGGATGGCGATAAAATAATCATCAACCATTAGTTTTGTTATCCCATCAGCCACCGCAGTCTGCTAATCCTGGGCTGTTATCACCTAATTCTGCTTGGTTGTGAACTGCATGTCTGCATGCTCACACACGCATGTTGACTGGAAGTAAATGGGTCGGATTGTACACTTGAATCATCCGGCTCGTTCTTTGTCGGCAGCAAATAATAATATTCAAGGAAGGAGCTGTTTTGGTGTGTGCGATGAAAGAATCACTTTGCGCTGGAAGGTCCGGTGCTACCAGAAACTACGTAGCGAAGACATTAGCATTAACATGAATGAATGGAAAGTTTTTTGCGTGCCTAACGTGTTTAATGTGTCTGGTTAGCACAGAAGAGATGCTCCTTGCAGGGGTGAGAAGAGGGTTACCTGCAGATTCAGGCGAGCAGCAATGAGTGATGAGAGGGGAGTGACAACGAAAATTGCATTTGTGCAACCATGAATCATTACAAACAAGCCTTTAAAAGGCAGCCCTGACTGTAATTACCTCCTCTGCGATGCTCTATTACGGGGTACTTTATTACCTTCTATTACTTTGCTGTGCCTGTCTTGGCAGATGTAGACCTCACACTGACTTACAAAGTTTGGCAGGTGAAGCTACAAGACTGCTTTTCTGTTTGAGTGCAAGAATAGTGACACAAAAAAGAGCAGTGTTTTAATGGAGGATTACATAATCTGTGACTTGTTGACTCCAACAACACTGACACACCACAGTTTAGAGCAGCCTAGGGCTCACACAAATATTCAAATCACATTTTAATAGTGGACATAAATAAACAAGCTAATTTGAGGACATGTGTTACTGAATATGTTATATGTGCCTTGTAGGGTCTTTTAGCTCATTGGTTTGGTTTTACAGCAGCAAATTTACTGTTTTGGTTCACTTTCAGTGCTCTCATAAACCTTGTTTCCACCACCAGCAGGCCGCTTTTTTCTGAAAAGAGATGGCACATTTTATATGTTTTGGACATGCAGAAAAATATGAACTCTGGTGACCATCAAGATCACAGTCAGGTAACATTGTCGTCATGGTAACAATAATAAATATGTGGTTAATTGTGAAACAGTCAGAGTTTGGTTAGAAAGTTAAGTATGTCCGGGCTCCCGGTTAGCTCAGTGGGCAGCGCTGGTGACCCACGTACCGAGGCCAAGTCCTTGCTGCAGAGGCCCAGGGTTCAAATCCAACCTGCGGCCCTTTGCTGCGTGTCATCCTCTCTCTCTACCCCCCTTTCCTGTCCATCTTCAGCTATATCTATCAAATAAAGGCTATAAAAGGCAAAAAAAAGTAAGTTCTGTTTTGGCTCTATACAGCACTTAGTCACACACCACCAACTATGTCGCTAATATTGGTAAAACTGGATCATATTTATAGAGTTGTGCCAGAACCAGAGTCAGGTGAGCAGGCAATGTAACCTAGTTCAGCAGCTTTTATGGACAAAGGCAAAGAGACTGAAGAGGATGACGGAGGAAGCTAAGAAGAGAAAAGGAGAGAGAAGCCGACGGACAAGAGTAAATTATTATTGTTGTTTATTTAATGTCATATTTTTTATTCATGCATAAAACATATGTTTTTAAAGAATTTATAATAGGAGAACTGTATTTCTACTGGTATGCACTCTTAACAAAGGAGTTGATGAACCGTCCCAAGGAGTCGAGGCAGACTAAACTGATCACAGAGAAGTGGATCAGTACAGTGAGAGAACAGGAGGGGAAAGTGGGGGGGCGCACAGAGAGGCAGTCTGAGGAAAAGCAGAATGAATGAATGAGTGAAAACATATTGGTCATCCTGAGTTCAGCCCCTCTCCCCCGCTGTGAGCCCCGACCGCGGGCTGCTTCACTGCCTCGCTGCCCAGGCTCTGCTGGGCACAAATCCAGTTTTCTGTCCAAATTACCAGCTCCGCTTCGCAGAAGAAGGCCAGCGGGGTGAGAAGATCTCACCCTCCACCCCCCCCTGTCTGAACCCCTCGCTGGCCCGGCGCGAAGCTGACGGAGCGTCGCGGATGGCCCTGGATTGCACCTGCACTGGGGGCTTTCCAGCCCCCCCCTTTAGTTCCACACACACACACACACACACACACACACACACACACACACACACACACACACACACACACACACAACCCCCAGACCATAACCCTCATTCCCTTTCTGTGGGTTTCAATCAGGTGGCCTAAAATTTACCAAGACTCCAAAAGCTGTAACCTGAAGTAACAGTTTGAACTGAGGGCAGCTTCAAAATGAAGCTGAATGAATGTAAAAAAGGTATAATGAAAATGTATAGTGGGACAAATAGCAGACCACATGGAGAAAATAAGAAGGAAGCATTTCCAAACCTACAAAATTAAATTACTAATTAATTTGCCACTTGACAGGGAAATGATGACTTCTGTCTTTGATACAAGCAACTGATTTTGTGTTTGATATCGTCAACCTTTTAGTTTTCCAACCATCTTGTCAGCTAACTGTTAAGTGTCGCACTCTATGACCACCATGTGTCAGAAAGCTTCACAGAGACAGAATGGAACAAAGCGAAATGATATGTGCAAAAATGTACTGTATATTCTATTAATACATTGCTGTTGCATTTTGCATGAAAATGTCTTTGTCTAAAAAATACATGTCCTGCTATTATCAATCTGTTATGTTCACAATCCATTTTTGTCATGAGATTTTGTAACTTTGTGTTGTTTACTTCATAATGTACCATATTTCTTTTAGGGTCTTGCTCACTTTTTAAGGCGAACCTATGTGACTTGTGTGGTCACTGTGGTTGGAAGGGAGAATTACAGGGAACTCCCAACCTCATTCCATCGCCTCAGCCAGGAAATGTACAGCATTATCTCATCAGCTCTAAAAAAGCTGAAACATATTTCTGGGCTTCTCTGTTCCTATTCTAATATAATTTGAGAATTTGATGACCCGTTGCAGCATGTCGCATCAACATGAGAAGAAAAAACTGCACTCACAAACACAAAGGTGACATTAATGCTTCATATAAAGCGTTTTCTACTAATGTGTTTTACTTTTACAGGAGGAAGGGCTACAAGGAGACTGATCTTCCAAACTTCCGATAAGGAGCAGAGCCTGTACCCTAAACTTTACAACTAGTGTCTTGGGCCTGGGCCTGGCTTGTTCACGGTGTATGACTCCTTGAGCTAGAGATACCTGGGCATGTGTAGAACTTGATAGAAACCTTGGAAAAGATATTCTTCTGCTTGCTCTTTGGTACGAACGAGAACTGAGTCAAACTTGGTGAGAGACGTTCTTTTTATTGTACTGCCAAAATTTCACACACAGAACCCTTTGAGAAGTCGTCCTTGGAAAAAAGGGCAGGGAAAAAATACTCAACAGGTGATTGGATGAACCATTTGTTTATTACCGTCTACCACAGGCTAACTTCATCCAATCCGATCAACGAACCGTATGACGCAGTAGGAAAGCGTACCCAGATTGAAAACATCTTTTAAGCTTTCAGTTAAGTGTTGCATGATTTGCATTGAAGGTAATTCACATTTCATACAGAGGGTAAAGTCAAAGTAAATTCACTGACAGAGCAAAGGGATATGGCGTCACCTTGCGTAATGTTTGCAATGCACAATATGAGTAATTTAGTGCCGCTAAACCTGGTCCAAACACGCAAAACGAAATTATATTGCTGGGACGTCTAAGTTTGAATCCGATCCAAATCTTACCCTTTCATTACCCTAGTGATTATTTCGCAGATAAACCTAGTAACCCCCCACCCTCGAAAGAAAAAAAAGAAAAAAGAACGATGAGTTGTTCTCGGAAAAGAACAGAGGCATAAGATCCGGACGTAA